TCCCTACAACTACCAAATGTTACGTTTGTTCATTACTTATCTACATAACAAATATACTACAGGATTATGAGAGCTAAAATGGTTTATTTTTCCAAGTTACCGATATCCAGTTATGAAATTAGTCTGGTATCTCTCAGATATCAAGTCAACTGTAATCTACATGCACGACTAATCTCCTATTACCAGTTCTCAACATTGGGAAACACCAGAGAGCAAAACAAATGTCACCTGGCAAATGAGGCTTCAGACTTTTCCCTCCTTATGATTTCCTACCATTACACACTTAGAAACAGAACTGAAACGCAACTTTATCAATTAAGATATGCCTGAAGATGTAACATCGTACATAATACAAACGGAAGTTTGGAAATACGAAGAGAAAAAGTGCAGATAATTTATCTTCAAATTTTGGCTTTCTTCTGTTTACTTTTGCAAAAGTATCTTTCATAAATTTCCAAGAAAAAATAAACACCATTTTTTGGGTCAAAATGAAGGTAAGATAGATTGGGTCAAAGGTCATAGGGACTGCACAGAAAAATAAACCAAAACAACCCAACAACAACAAAAAAACCCACCACAAAAAAAAACCAAGACGGTGAAGGCCAGGGAAGTTTAATATATAGTTTGAATCGAATTTGAACGCACAGGGTAAGAAATTAATCAGCAGCAACTTGTTTGGGACTTTCGGGCCAAGGGGTCGAGGTAATTAAAGCAGCAAAATTTGCAGATTCCAACCATCCTCACTTTCCCCTCCTCCTCAGCCTACCATATAGCAATAAGATCCAGTGCAGTACTTTCAATATAGAGGGAACAACAAAGACTTCAAAAGAAAACACGCTGCTCTGCTCGCTATATAATATGGAATGTTGTATTTTCTGACACTAGCTTAAACTGGTAACAAGATTTTCAGAAAGAGGTATCAACTAATAAAATACTGGTACTACTAAACAGTGATATACGAAGTGAGAATCAACCTGTTTTCATTATCATCTAATGTTATTTTGTGACTGTCTTAGGATAAAATGAAGAATTAATACAGTACTGCATGCAGTCTTGGAGGAAACACAGTGGCAGCAAGAAAGAAAAAAAAAAATCAACAAATGATCCAAAGAAATAAATAAAATACAGGCTCAGGATCACAAAGCACAGCATAAGACATGATCAAGAGGTAGCATTTATTTAAAGTCCCTTATCCCACAACTTTTTTTTTTCTTAGAGAAAAATAGTAACAGAGAAAAATGTGAAAAATATTTTTGGCTTGATCCCGACAATCTTGTAATATTGAAAAAAAAAATCAATAGAAACTATGAAATTAATGTTGGTGCATTTTTTTTATGTAGCAAAAGCAATCACATATAGGGAGCTGTGAACAGTGAGGAAGACTAGTCACACAAAGTTATATGAAATGTAAACATATGATTTAATATAATTAAGTGTAATACAAGCCACTAAGACATATTCATATACTAAGACATATCCTAAAAGTAAGAAACTAACACACTAAAAGGATCCTTAGTAAAAAAAAAAAAACAACCAATAAATAAGATCTAGTATTGTAACACAAAAATGGAAAACAAGCAAGCAAATCTCAGACAGGGTC